TGACGTTATTCCATACTCATTTATATTTATTTAATCCATAAAGTATATCCACTTCCAAAAGTGTTAACTTTCAAACGCCATCAATCTCGTGGTTTTAAAACGTCTTTAATCTTTATATAATGTACTAGTATATCCGAATTCATCTTCAAGAACCTATTACGTGCACAATAAACTGTAATATAGTGTGGAAATGAAACATTATTTACTTTATATTTGGCTTGTATTGTGTAGTGACAGTGATTTCTGCTAGTGACCCACATGACGAGGTAGGGCGAACAATTTCGATAACTTATCGCACACAATACGAGTAGAGTTGATGAGAGATCTGATAAAAGAGGGACGAAAAATGACTATGAAAATGGTATTTCGAGATAATATTATTGATTAAATATTGGTATGCTTAGTCTGAGTTGGTATTTAGGTGGTTTTTCATTCATAAATCATTATACTATTTAGTGTTTACGTAGGTTATTGAGTTAGACTTCGTATGTAATGTGCAAACGTTATTTAATCTTTCTGTTTGGAATTTATATACTTACTAGCTGACTCGGCAAACGTTGTTTTGTTAATAATAAAATAGGTGTTGGTGATAAAAAAGTAAAAATTTCGGGTTGTATGTATTTTTTAATGCTACATAAAAAAATATCCGAAAAAAACATTAAGGGTGACAAACTCTTATGACTTAGGGGTATGAAGAATAGATATTGTCCAAATCTCAGACTTACTCAATATGCTCACAAAATTTCATCAAAATCGGTCCAGCCATTTCGGAGGAGTTCTCTGTCTAACACCGCAACACGAGAATTTTATATATAAGATAAATATTCAGACAAATCTTCTCTAAATAAGAATACTATGTATTTAGTTGACTTTTAGTATGAAAAGTTGATAATTGAATTTAACCAAAATATTATTAGTAGGTGCAAATTTATGTTATCGTCTATGAAACGTAATAGTTCCAAGACTAGCTTTTGACAGATTTTCAGAATATTAATTTGCATTATATTCTAAATAAAGCCAGAATATTGTTCATATCTAAATATATCTCGTCTCATTTGTTTCGGATTAATTAATATTGTTAACGTATGTTAAAGTCCACGAAGTATGTTATTAATTTTGCTTACTATTACAAAAAAATATGCTGTAATATACATATTACCAGAAACTTAAAATGTAAAATGTTAGTTATTAGAGGACATATATATAATTAACTAAACTACACCGTAAGGTATTTTAAATGAAGATTTATTATAAGTGTATGCGTTAGTTTACAGTAGAGGGTAATAATTTTCTTTTGTATATAGCCGACGTACAATGTATATGGTTGGCCAATATAAAGATATATGTTAACCTTATAATTTATAGTACAAACATGATCCTTATACCCCAGTCTGTCTTATTATTTATGTAGGTAGTCGTTTAAGAAAATCTATAGTTCTTCCGAGCAATTACAATATTCAATGACTCATGTTGGTTATATTGAGTCGTACGTTATTGGTTATTATTCTAAGATATACTCTCTATATATTAAATGAATCTTTAGGTTTAATAAAACAGATTCATCTTCAATGGAATTATTGTTATTAAAAACAACGAGCAGAGAATTAGTTTCTCTCAATATTAATTAATATTGAATCATAATGACTCGCGAGTATTCATTTAAATGAAACTAATCCCAAAAATATTAGTTTCATTTTAATATTGAACTAGATTCTAGTGACATATGTATATTTGGTTAAAGTATATAACCACACTAACATTATTTCGTGACCCAAATCTTTTGTACTTGTAGTAATATAAGACGTATTTCAACAAAATTGCCTTAAACTAGGCCGTTGTCTGCCTCATTAGACTAGTCTAGACTGTGCTTTCGTTTATATTACCAGATCAAGGACTCGATGTTAAAGACTTTTATTACTATTGTTAATCCAAAAACTTTTTCTTTATCAGATTTTCGCCGTTCTATTTTAGGAACGTACTGTAATATATTTTTTCTTTAGTAAAGATTATAATGTGTTTCTACAGTTTTCTTTATTCGGAAGATTTAGCAAACAATATCTCAAGTTTAAGTATGAATTTAAAATTAATAATAATATTAGTATTTCATATTATAATATAGCCTGAATGAACATTAACCAAAAGGCTTTTAAGGTATTGTGTGAGCCTATAGGAGACGAAAATGTGATGAATTTTTAATGAAATTCTTTATTCTATCGTCGGGACTGTGAGTTTTATGTTTTGATTAGACACATGTAGTATGTACGTGGGTGTAAAATACATAATATATATATTGTAACGTTGACTAATAAATATAAAACGCTTTACATTTCCTTTGTCTTATTATAAGTGTTAATAATAAAATGATAATTATTTTATATATTATATGTTTGTCTATAATTCGTAAATAGTCAGAATAAGCATCTAGATATATGCATTGACCCCATAATTCCAAGTTCTGGAACCCCAATAGACAATCTAGATATAATTTTATATGAAAAATATATTTTATAATTATTTAAAAATATTTTTTTTAATACTGTTTATATTATCTAACTTGAAATAAGTTAAAATATTAATATCTATAAGATTGAAGTCAGCCTATTTTAATCCAAAAAAATCTTTGAAATGGCGAATAATAATTCCATAAATCTGTTTATTTGGGTTAATGAATTATATCGAATAAAAATTATGAAGAGAAATATTATTTTAAACTTATTTTTAAACAAAAACGATAATTTATTCTTTATATATAGTAAAAAAATTCTCATTTATTTTAACCATTTCAAAATTAAATAGAAATGTTTTAAAGTAGTTGTATATAATAATTCTTAGAATTAAATACTGTTCATTTATAGATTCAGGATATACAATACGAAACTTGAGGCCATTAGTTAGCTATAACCGCATTTCCCGAGAGTTTACCGAAACGGTACTTCCTGAAACAATTCCTTTAAAATAATTCAAATATACAACAGAAATAAAATTTTATGTTTAAACTTGTGTAAATTATTTTAAATTGTATCAATTACTTTTATTGTTTCACTTGAAATCAAATACAGATAGTAAAGGAAATTTTAATAGTAATAAACGTACATATGTATAAGAAAAATATAAACTTTATTATGGAGATGATGGTGATGATGATGAGAGTTGATGAGAAATCGTAGTTAAATCAGTGTAAAATAAAGGATTAAACCACAATACTTTAATTTCATACGTTACTTTATATAGGCAATTACATACATATGTACTGTATACTTCTACGAGTGCATTTATAATGAAATCAATCTAAAATGTTTCCAATATAATATTTGTCTTACCCCATCATGACATTTCAATTCAACTTTTGACCTGAAATTAATATTTATTATAATTATGAGCTTGAAATTTGGATCACTGAGCTATAAATTCTATCGGAAAGTAAGAAAGTGAGGTCCCATCTATTACAACTATTCAATAGTACATATTAACGACATAGTGATCACATATTTTCGGGTTAAATGTTTAAAAGGAAAACAGAATACTGAGAAATATTGCAGTATCCTCAAATACTTCAAAATATTGTTGAGATTCCCTCTAGTTAGTCATAAACTATCTTTTGTCCGCGACTTTCATCGCGTGAACTTCGAAATTTGGTTCAGAGAAACTAGTTATATGTGGTTAAAATAACAGTCAGCGACATCTATCGTCTGTGTTACGCGACTTCATACTAAATACAAGTGTTATATGTTCCCACGGGAACTACAGGGAATGAAGGTTCCAGTTTCAACCTATGTTATTTTGATATATGAGATATATTGTAAAGTTTAATTTAAATTTATAAAAGAGTGACGAACATACAAACTTACAGTTCATTTATTAAGGATATTTTATACATATACAATTTTAAATGTCTATGGTTAACAAAAATAGTTTTGTTTTAATTTTGATCTAAAAGTTAAAGCAATAGAATCGATTTTGAGTGCATATTATTTTAGTGAGGTATTCAAATAATAATTTATATAAACAATTCCGCAACCGACTATTCCTAGGTATCGGTACATAGTTTGAAACACTTAAATTAATTAAATTGTTGCACCGACGGGAACAAAGTTACCAACCAAGATAACGTCTAGTATCAAAGGCGAGTCGGATAAACTACGTGACTAACAGTTATGAGACTCGCGTTGTAGAAGCTCTTTGTTAAATAAAACACAGTGGAAATTTCAATATTTATAATAAAACATTCAAAAATGTTCGCTGCTTTTAACTCCTTGTTTGAACAAGAAACAAGTTACCCACTAGTATAATTTGTGTAGAAACAAACCAATCATTTCTTTACCCTTTTCCCTTCCAATTAAACATAGCAATTATGTATAACATTTAACACATAATAGTACATTCGCGATTTTAAAGTGCTTTTAAAGCTGCATTTAATACATAAAACTGTCAACACTTGATAAGGAGTGTAAGTCAAGATAAATTGCCGCGTCTCGTGTCACGGCGTATTGTAGGATCGCACTTACAGAACACATCGCATCTAACAAGCTGTGTTCCACTTTGAAATATTTTATATTTCAATTTATAAAGCTATCCGTCTTGAATTGCTTCAGATTTACGATGATTACATCCAAACAACAAACAATTTGAGTGTAATATATTGTCTCCATTATATATTCGAGCATTTTAAATACATTTTTCATAATATTAAATAAAAAAAAACTTAAATTTTTTTAAGTATTTCTTTAAACGAAACTAATATTTTTCGGATATACTACGCGTGCTTTATTTTTGTAAACTACATACTCCCGACATTTCGGTTACTTTTCAACATTTTTTTCATAAATTTCTTGTCTATTGAGAACTAAAGAAGCAAAGTATTTATTATACATACAAATTGATGTCTTTTTTACTTATAAAAATGAAATCTTCACACCACCGTACTACATTATTACAAGTTGAGTAACCACTATGGAAGCTTGGAGTTAAATATGTAGTAACTATTTTTCTTTAACCATCAGGTACAATTCAAAGCTGACGACCCTGGCTCTGCCGTCAGTGATATTTGAGCCCAAGTTCCGTGGTTCAGTTCGCAACCTGGTGTACTCCGACTTACCTGGACAACCTCCACGCAGACAGGAGCTACGACACTCAAGAGATCTGAAGGTGAGACACTATTATATGTGAAAATTAGCTTTTACCCGCGACTTCGTCTGCGTAATTTTTAAAGTTATATGTATAGCTAGTCTGAGCGAACTCTATCAACTTAAAGGCAGTAAATAAGAAGATTTTATATTTTATCTATTTTTTATTGCATGAAAAGTATTCTATGTTCGTCTCCTGGTTCTTAGCTATCTTTTCACCAATTTTAAACCATATCCCTATAACCATTCTTAAGTTATAAATAGTGTAACCAACACACCTTTCTTATATATATGGTAACATTAACTCTTCACACTTTGTCATCTCGCTTTCTTGACATCGCTTCCTCAAAGTTTGTCGTGTTATTATAACTACCTAAAAAGTGATCAAGGCTTATGTCGGCTGTATTGAAACACTTTTAAGTCACGAAGAAGTCACAGTCATAAAATTCTTAATTAAACGAAAATGTAACTTTGTTTATGAAATGTAATAAATTATTTATTTTAAAATTTCTTTAAGATTTATTTTCCATCAATTATTATGAATGCGGATCAAAAAAATTGTAATTGTTTTTGTCACTATACCAAGTCTTACATATCAGTACGGGTACTGAATACCATTTGGATTATATTATAATGTTAAAATTATATAAAATAGGTTATATTAAAAGCACCTCTGTATTTATTTAGTACATTCATTATTTATAAAAGTATGCTCAATATGTACATAAACTAAGATCAAATTGAGATCGGGTTATGAGAGAATTCAATACATTTTCAAACATCTCAATTTTTCATCTATATTATGATCATCTGTGACGGCAATTTAAACTCTATCGCCGGTGAATATAGTCCTTTCTTATCTTGATGCGGGAAATATTCAGCGCACAAAGGAATACCAACGCGTATTACTTGAAGGAAAATCGTACGCATTTCATAGACTTGAACCTTAGACGTTAGATTATTGATAGCTAAGAGACATTTATTAAGATCCTCGCTTATGTTATATTAATTTTTAATAAAAAATACTATACAATTTAGACATGCCTGATATAAAATAATAATATTAGGCCTTTAAATATGAAATATGCGTATTATCGTACTGGCCAATATGTTCTCAAATAATTTTTTGGTTAGGTATAATAGTTATAAATTTATACAACCATTTACTTATACATTTGTTTTTTGAAAACAGCAATTAATCTTTAGTTTTTTATTTGCATCAGTCAGTCCAATAAACTAAGAAATTTCTTCCATAATTTGTTTGGAGATTATATTTTTATTGATCTATATTAAATATAGTATCGCTATTAAATTGAAGTTTATTTAATCTAAGTTTAAATAATAATTATTTTCGATTCGTTTTACCTTAAATCATTTAAAGATCGGTTTGGAGCTCTCACAAGAAATCCGCTTTGTAAAAATACGGATGGCGTGATTAAAATTACTTTGAGGAAATGAAACGTCGAGAGAGGATCCGGACGTTATAGTACTATATTTAGTTTTACATTTATATACGGGATAGTAATAAATATTAAAAATAAATAGTTATAGTTAAAATTTTCATTTATAATGTCGATGTTAGTATTGATAAATTATAAAGATTGAAGCGTACTTAGAATTTTATAATAAGATAAATGTTATCATTATATTTATATAAAGAATGACCATTTTAATGAATAAATGTATGTACTAAATAGATGATTTTTAACCTTATACTTGTTATTTAACTAAAAACTTGTAAAGCAACAATTACTTCTAACTATAAATAAATGTAGAATTACGGGTAAAGTTGAGTGATAAAGCTAGTTTAAATATAATTTTAAACTACAATATTACAAAGTACCACATTCTAGAATAGTTTTTGTATTGCTTAATTCAGAAATATTTCCATATTAAACTTTATTTTTCCATCATCAATCGGTATTAAAAATACTCGTAGAATATCTTACAAGTTAAGTGGAGCGTTTAACGTTATTAATAGTGTGTATGCAGACACAGATTCCGTCCATCCATAAACAGTTCCAGACTGTTAAAGGTCACTCGTATCTTTAGATGCTTTATTTCGGAGGCTGCACGCTACGGCAAAGGTTATTCAATTTATTTTTGTAGCCAGCCATTTGACCCATTTAGCTAGTGCCGACGATTATACTAGCTTTGCTATGTGATTTTTTTTTATGAGACTGGTTTAAAACTATCTAAATATTGTTAAACTAATAAAAATTACTACTCTACAACCTATTGAAATTGATTATATTGGCTGTTACTATGTAATAAATAATTTTTTTATTGTTATTATAAAAGAAGTATCGTGTGGTAAGAAAAGTTAAAATTTAAGAATTAGTCCTTACAAAATCTCTTCAACGCTAATTTGTATTAGTTAGAGACATATAACATAAAATAGATAAAGAAATCTAAAATATTAGTCATATTGTAAACTATATGTGTGAGATATAATCTTCTAAGTTTCTCTACATAAATATGTAGAAGCCATAGTATATTCCATATTATCAAAAGGTAACGTGTTTATGGCATGGTCGGATAACCGATGAGCCACTATAACTGATGTATGGCCTCCATAGAAACGTAAACTACCTTATCATCACACATGAGGTGTTGGTATGTAGTTTTTAATAAGGGTTGCTTCATTGTTAGTCACTGATGTAGAAGGAATGGGATTGAGAACATAGATCACATTCTTGTGGATAGTAGTATATATATTTATAGAGCAAAAACTGTTTGAATTTTCTTAGAATACACTTTTGGAGACAAGAAATGTTTCTTTAGAAACGTATTTGGATTTTTTTGATGACTTATATTTGGAAAAATCACTTAAATATTTCCAGCTATTAAACAGTTTTTTTCTTTCAAACAACTTATGGTAGTTTTATTGATATATATGTAAGTATTATTTTAATGTTATATTTACTTCAAAGAATCATGTTAATTAATATTTTTTAAAATACTATCTTGAATATCTTAATGTCGATAAAGCATTTTTTTTTGCCAGAGATGTTTTAGTTAACTAGAAAATATTTTATGTTCCCAATATTTTTTTTATATATTTTCACAACATTGAATAAAAAGGCTAATTGATCTCTCTTTATAAAGTGAACGGCTCTCTGTTATCGGAATGCTCAAGGGAATTTTGGAACCTTTTGTTGTAAAAAATTCAATATTATTTATAACGTTAATTTTATTTAATATAGATGATGTAATAATTTTTTTTACATTAATCTGTATAGAGAAAGGAAATAGCGAATACGTCAGGATATGTAATTTCCATATAAATCAGACCAGCGATGTTTGCTCTTGAAGATTTGTAACTCAATATATTGAACTCAATGTGGCCTCGCTGCATTTATCAGTAGAACTTATAGTTATTTTCGTTACTTCCACATTTAACTTAACTTTATAAATCAAGTTTAAAGTTTGCGTCTAGAATAATATTAGAAATACATTAGTTCAGCTTCGCCAGGAATAGAATTCGTTGAATACAATTTTAATTTAAATTTTAAATTCAAAAACTAACCCGACCCTTGACTTTACTCGTCTCTACTGTATCATAATTGCAAACGTTTTTAAAAGCCTCACAGCCTTTTATAGTGCTTTCATCCTTGGTGCGGGTGAAATGAAGTTTTTTGTTCGTTTTTTGTTAGTCTTTTAAGTAGGCTGGATATATAACTGTTGGGGCTTTACTAACAGTGAATAATCTTAAAGACTTAGTCTTTGGTAAGGAATTAGATCGATTATTATGAATTCCATTATGTATGAATGATATAATTCTTTATATATTTGAGTTTTTAGATTATGAAGAATCGTACGTACGTAAGTAGCCTCACGACGAAGGTGTCTAAATGGACAGCCATTAAAAATCCATTACATACAGCATACGAGACGAGCTTTTAATATGTGCTCGCGAGAAAATTGTGAAATTTGAGTGGAATTTACGGTTTAATAGAACCTATTACACGGGAAATGGATTAATGGATTCATTCGCACGTCCAATACACGAGGACGTTTAAAATACTATAAATAGATTTAATATATAAAAAAATATATTTATATGCAATGCAATAAACTTTATGTAAAGGTATACATATGAGTTTAAATAAATCTCGGAAATATATGTATTAAAAATTAATAATAATACGAGATAAATATAGTACTGTAAATTGTAAATCGTTAATTAATTTTCGTCTGCTAATTAATACCACCTGTGAAACCCATTCCGTACTTAACAACCCGCTCGAACTTAATAGCCACGTCATACGGCGGTGATTGCGGCCATCTTGTGACGTCATCTGACAGTTCATAGAAGATTACACACCAGACCCGTATTGAAAACATACAGCCGATGTGTACGATTTATTAAAAAAGGTTTTATCTTCAAATTCCTTAACATATAAAATTATGTGTCTGTTTTAATATCAATGAAATTAAAAACTTTCTAACTATAAATAAGAGCTCTTTGGTTGATATTAAATAGAAATAAACATATATACGTTATAAAGAGAAAGTCTTTCATAATATTAGTTAGTGATTTTCATTTAATTTTTGTGTTAATAGCTTGTTTGATGTTCATGTAATGTCAAGTCATTCGGGACGGTATAGCGGACGTCTTGTGACGTCACTTACGCCTCGATTAGCACTGTCATTAGTACTGTTACACATGAGTACTTAGATGTTAAGTAAAATAATGTATAAGGTATGCTTTTAGACAAACTTATACATGACCATTACAGGCTTAAATAAAAAATATATTGTTTATTCATAAAATTATAAGAACAAATGAATGAAGATGTATATTTTTTGTTACGTATTTTTCTTAGAGTTTAAGCCAGTCAATGGTTATGAAACAAGATGATTCGGTAAAGAAAGATCAAGCACTCTCGTGTAAGAGGGGACAAGTAATCGAGTGGAGTATTGTGCTAGAATTTATATTAATTTTTATTTGTATATACATACATTATGTATATATATTTTTAAAACAATTGATTGGTATCAATTATTTATAATGTTGAGGAGTTCTAATTATTATTAGTTTAATGTCCTTGGAAATTTTTAAGTCCGGAAGAAAGCGGCTTTATATTTTTCAACATCTCACATGCGGGACATGTTCAAAAATTTTAATTTTCTTCTGCATGAGACGGAATCGGCCATGCTGTCTCTAAAACAGAAAACTTTATAGCAGCGATGGGACTACTGCTAAATGATCAGGATTATGGGAACCAACTTTATCAAAATTATGGATATTATTTGGTAGAGTGTCTGGAGGAGTGGCCAAAGTCAACAGTGGTTTGCCTGCAAAAGAAAGGATCCACGTGGAAATATGAAAACTATAGAACTAATTCTCTCATCTCCCATGCCCGCAAAATCTTATTTTGATTAGGGGACTAGAAATTTACATCTTTAAGATTTTGTAAGTGCTAAGTAAGGTTCAGTAAGAGCCAAGGTAAAGGAGAGCAGATTTTAAACACACGACGGTTAATTGAGAAAGGCAGAGAGTACGCGAAGTTTCACATACTATGCGAAAGTTTCCGTATTGAGTCAAGCAAAATCTTCAGCGTATTGAGGGAAATAGTAATACTTCAACACCTAACTTTGCTTGTGCAGTTCAGATCAGTAGCTCAAAACTAATCACTCCTCACAGCCCCGAGGACAAGAAGAATGAGAGAGAGGGAGAGACTTTTGGCATTCTTTTAATATTTTAAAAGTATGCCAAAATAGCCATAATTAAAGCTATTATTACATTTTTAATTCCACAATTTTTTACATCTTCACGGCTAATAGTGAAATGGTGCCAAGCGGGTCTACTTAAAATATTCAACAACTCGACCTCAGCATTGTGCTACGTATATATACTTAAATTGAATGAATTAAATACACCTTAACAACTATACATATATGAATATTGGAACAATTGATTAAGGTAAATTAAAATTAAATAAATGTGATAATATCGTGATGAAAAGTGTACATTCGAAAAATAGTATCACTTGAATCATCAATCTTTTTTAATTTTTTTATCAATCTTTTGTATCACTTGAAAAAATGAATATGACTTTCAAACCTCATTCAATAACGGTTTAGTATGAATGGCAAATATGAAATAATTTAATAAAATAAAATTTTACTTGTTATAAACATGAGTTAAATAAGATAATATGTTTTATATAAATTTATATTGGATTATAAAATAAAAGCATTAACGAGATATGTACATAATGAAATGATAAATTTGTTATTTCCAAAGAAAGTTTAACATTCTACATAAAAAAGGTTTCTGAAATATACGATACTTATTTAAGCCGCCTACACATTTGCTTTATAAAAAATCACTGATATACATTAATAAATAATGTAAAAAATAAAATATTGAAAAGACCAAAGCCATTACATATATGAAGTATTGGATGTTAAGACATTGAGAGATGATAGATATATATATATATATATATATATATATATATATATATATATATATATATATATATATATATATAAACAATTTATTAAGATGATCGTTTTATAGTGAAGTTGACACAATAGTTCTAGTATTGTTATTCTGAATGAGAGTGTCTGATTGATATTAAAACACAATCTAGTTATGGTTTCGACAAGTAATGGAATAAATATACTCATTAAATAATGTGTAAGATTTTGTTTATGTACTGACTTCTATTGAGTAAAAAGAAATGTGATTCGATCAGTCATACCTTATAGAATTAAAAATTCGTTTACGTTATGGATAACTTTGATCGCAAACGTGATGTTTGAAATTTTCCAAAAATAATCTATTTGATTAGCGACGCTATTATAATGTGTAAGTTTGTAAACTCCAAACTAAATATGTGTATAAAAATACATATAAACTGAGCCAATTTTCTGACAATAGTATATAAGAAATAGATTCTAATGAGAGTTAGATTGATGGCTAATGTACGAAGCGATAGAAAATACACATACAGTTAAAATGAATTTAACATAGTATTAGGTAAATAAAAATAAATATCTTTGTTTCTATATTATTTATAACAAAATCTGACTGTAACTAAAGAAAATAACAGTTTAAATTCATATAATGCAGGTCACTCCACACGAAAGTTTCTCCCATCATTTACATATACAATTTTTTTCCACAATTAACATAATATTAAAATACCTTAATAGTTTCGTCCAATGTATAGTTTTGCCGCATTGTGGTGGGCGTTCAGCATAACATTGGTAACACGCCACTCGGTACTGTGTCGTGATAATAACGATTACCGTATAACAGAGTGTTGGACGACGGCGTAAATACAATAAAACATAATAAAATACGATCAAGATATTGAATTCATAAAGATATTGTTAGAGAAAATTGGTTAATATGTATACTTCATTATGTTTCGGCTATTTCTTTTAATCGTGGTACAAAGAACTGAATCAGTCCCTACTAATATTATTAATGCGAAAGTAACTCTGTCTGTCTGTTACGCTTTCACGCCTAAACCACTGAACTGATTTTAATGAAATTTGGTACAGAGATAGAGTTGACCTTGAGAATGAATATAGGATAGTTTTTATCCTAGACTTTTGAAAGGTTCTGTTGGAAACGCGCTATAACCGAACTCCACGCCGCCGAAGCTGCGGGCGGAAAGCTAGTGACACAATAATTATGCTTTGACAATATTGTATATCAATAGATGCTTCTTCAATAATAAACCCTTTCTGTCAAAAAGATTCTGTAGTTAATACAGGGAGGTGTGATCGTAATTAGGTCAGGGTACAATGCCGGTTAAACTTTAGTTTGCATATTCGTGCATTGTAGTAATGCAACGACTATACAATATACATATAATAAAATTTCAACATGATCTCTGTATGATGTTAATAATGAAATATATTATGTTTTTAATTAAAGTCACAGAAGTGGAAAATTTTGAGAATTTTTAAACTTAGTTTGTCAGTCTGTCTTATACTTATGTGTTAAGCATTAACTACTGCCTTAAAGTTTAATTAAATTATAAGGTAAATAGTTTCCTACAAATCAACCGATTAGTACTGTTTTATAAAGTGCTTATAAAGATTAAATGCACACGAAGTCATGGATAAAAGTTATATTTCTATGCAGAAACATATAAATGTCAATAATATGCAATATTTTTTTATTATCATATAACTGAAAATAAAAAAAACAGCTATATTACAAATAAAGTCTTCTTCAGATTCTCAAACTTTTGCCAAAAATTCGTAAAGTAAATGTAATATCTATAAAATCAATAAAGCGTTTCTCATTCAGTTGGCTGTAACTTTCGATTTGATATAACTGAAGTGAAAAACTTCCGAAGTAAGGGAAAAAAAGCATGGTGTGACCATTATCATTTCGGCAGCACTCGTTGGACGCCCGCCAGAACTGAAGCACCTGTGAGATTTCCACTCTTTACATTTAATTATATCATTTTAGTTTTTTTTTACGAGTTACCGTAGTTCTTGAGATTTTTATTAAAGAGACACGTTTTAGTGGGGTTTTTTCAAGGTTCATAAGCATCGGTATACTCAACTTGTTCGTTAATTCTATAAATAAAAGGAGTTTGAGACTAAAATATGTCAAAAATTATATGCAATCGAGTTATAAGAAGTTTTTTGATGCACCAGATTGCAAAGTTTTAGACACAAGAAAGTCTGTAAATGGAATCAAAGATCTACGTCATAGTCACTTAGGATAGACGGAAAAATAAGAATTTTTCTTATGAATATTTTCTTCGGGGAATCTTTCTTTGTATTTAGTATGACTTTTGATTAATTCTCAGACCTGGAGAAGTTTTGCTGCAATATTAACTCGTTTTTTGTAGAAACAGAATTCTGAATATTATTTTCTTTTTTCAACAAAAAATCTAGTTTAGAATATTTGTTAGTTTAGAAGGTAATATCGTATTTATTGTTTAGAATGATTATGTTTTCTTTGTTCCAGTCATCTCGTATCAGTAATGCTAGTGGCGATGCGTGCGAGCGTCGAGATCCTTGCCAGCATGGCGGAGTCTGCATCAGCACAGATGATGGACCCATCTGTGAGTGTCGCGACGGAGACTATGAGGGAGCATTCTGTGAACGAGGTATGTTATCAATTATTATATATTATCATATTGAGCATGAAGTCCACGAAAAAGGAGGTTTAATACATTTAAAAAAAATTGAGAACTAGTCTTTTTCAGTAAAATATAAATAAGGTTTTGTTTTACATATATGAATTTGTTTTTAAAAATGTAGCTATTTTGAATTTGGTATACGAATATTCTAATGCTACAATAATTTTTATAAAACTGACATATCAGTTGGAACATTTAAAAGAATTTAAAAAATATCAGCTCATTATAAAGGAAAATAGAGGTTACATTAATTCAGGCTCTTAAGACTTAGCTAATGGCTACACCACATTAAGCTGGCCGGCCACGCGAACCGGCTATTTGCTGAGAACGCTTAAATTCCAACTGAAACCATATTTAAAAAACCTTTTTTTAAGAATAAAATATTAAATATGCAAATCGAAATAATACCTAAAAATGTTTGTATTGAATAACCCGGTTCATGTTTTATTTTTAAGTTACCATTCCCGCTTCATAACGATAGACAAGGGTCGTCAAAAACCCGACGACATTTTTTTAAATGGATTAAAAATAAATTCGTATATTGATAGGATTCAATATTTGAGTCGTAATGTTGGTTTGATGTGATCTGTGTCAAGTCGCGCTTCAAATTGGAATGTAAGGTAGTGAATTGATATTGAATTGTTATAATTGGTTATATTATAGTTACATCGAGGCTTCATGTTATATTCAACCTGTTCGGTGTATTTTTAGTAAAAAGAGTGCTTCTATAAATTTAAGCCGCTGTCTCTATGTGTGTGTGAGTTCGAAAGTATTCGTGTGTGTGAAAGTCTGTGTAAAAGTATGTGTGTGTGAATGTGTGTTTGTTTAAAAAGTGTGCGTATATTTGTGCTTGTGTAAGTGTGGGTAGGTGTGTTTATGTGTGGGCTTTTTTAAAATATAATACAATTTAGTTATATGTTCATGTAACGATGAGATCAATTAAGATTAATTTACCAAATAACCCGGTTTTGTTGCATTTTTTTTTAAAGAGTATATGTGTAGAGAAATGATTCGATTTCGCAATTTTCATACAAAGAATACAAAGGAATTCAGTTTAACTGCACAGTTTTCACAAGAAACTGTATAACAACAAATGAATCAATTATAAAGTTCGAGTTTATTGTAGACAAGATACAATTATGTATCATAAACTACGTCCTACGACTTAGCTAGAATATAGCTCCATAACTACACATGCCTGGCTGGATGGCTTTTTATGTCAGTGGCTGTATATGGCATTAGCAGAAACCAAGCTTTTATGGCTTATAAAGAAAATGAGTCACTATACGAGTGCTGGGAATAATCAAACAACAGATTATATATCGTGGGTCATAAAAGGTATATACGCCACGGGGGTCGGAAGATATGTTTGTGTTATTATATTACTGAAGAAATGGTTACACTAGTGTAATAGATTGAATGACATATAAAGTAATAATCATTGTTTCTTGATCTGCAATATATACGTTGAAGAATTGCAAAGAAAACTATTTGTAAGCCATAGTATTCTTTACCTATTTTTCTTCTTCTTCTACCTGGCATTTTCCCAGCCTTAGCCAGGGTCTGCCTTACATGTTGTGAATAGTTTTGGCTCATTGTTTTTACGATCGGCCGCCTGCCTGATATCAACCCTGTTTTGGGAATCAACATTAATCAGTGATGTCTAAATATTCTTAGAAAGTACATATGACTTGGAAAAATCACATTGGTAGCTACCAGGGCCAGGATCGAACCTGCGCCCTCATGCACGAGGCCTTTTAACCACTGGGCAACCACTGACTAGAAGTATTCTTTAATTATTTCTCAGTATAATAATATGGTTATAGTGATAACACATTAATTATAAGTTCATATATATAACAGTTTATCCACTACAGCGAGTTAGGTGCCTAGTGCTATAAACACTGGTTATTCTAAATAACGCGCTACCGAGGCTCATATTTAATTGGTGCTTGGATCTCGCTTTAGATTCTCATTTGTTTATTTCACAATAGCTGTTATTCAGTCCGTACGTTTAACGAGCGGTGTGAGGGATACGTGTGGTAAGCGATTTGTTTTGGTTACGCCTTCACCTACTCTATAATTAGAAATTTATTTGTTTTTATCGGAAAATTTCAATTTGGAATTAATGATATCTAAGATTTTCGCGAGTTTTATTCATTTAAATGAAACTATTATTTTTCGAATATACTACGCGTGCTTTTTATGTAAAAAACTACGTAAAAAACTATGTAGTGCCGAAACGTCGAAAGTATGTACTTTCTATGTTTCGGCTACTTAACACAATTACAAGACAACGGACAGCCATTCACATCTCGTTTGCCCGTGATCACGGTTGCTGAAACGTAGCCGAAACTTCGGGAGTATGTAGTTTTTTTTACAATAATAATGCATGCGTAGTATGAGCCAAAGTATTAGTTTCATTTAAATGTGGAAATATTTATTGTTTTTTTTTTTAAATATTTTTTGGACTACCTTATTTGTCTAAATATCCGACACAAAAGTTTTGGTCCAGACTATATATTTTTTATATGTAAGTTCGTCACAAGCAGATGTAGTGATATAGTTTGAAACATAATTTGACATTAATCTAATAAGTCCTTGCCATTAGTGCTGTGTGCTGATGGATTATACTAACATTGAAAACACCCGCTCCTTGAATCCAAGGCTTAGTTCGTGTTCAAAATCGATTTGTAACTATAAACCGGCACTTGATAGAGCTTTTATGTTACTTGTTTACATATTCACTATATATTCAAGTAAACTGAAAGAGGATTTAGATGAGTGGTCGTTTAAAAACTGCATTTAATCATAATGAACTCTTTTTTTCCATCCCCGTTCTCTCGGTGATGTTAAAATATTAAAATGAGTGTAATCGTCTTAGCCAGTCCACTTGTAGGGCTTTAATTGGTTCAGAACAGTTGGTTTAAAATTTTCATATAGCTTTTATAATTTCTATTGATGTAATTATCCAATTTGTAGAGATAATTCCATTTTAATATTTAGCTTTGAAGAATTTCGTGGTTTTGTTACCTACTGTTGCTGGACTTTTAGTTGTTTATGTGGCAATTGTTTTATGGTTATAAAATGTGTCTTCGTAAATTGGCCTTTGATTAAATGTATATTTAAACCGAGGTTTCCATTATAAAAGTAGTTATCTTGTTCCACTTTGTACAAATTAAATACCGACAGTTTTTTTCTATGTCAAATACGAATGGCCTTGTACGCGACATTGACATTTCGATGTCGCCACGTGGGAATGTACTCGTATGAAAAACAACCAAGAAATATTCTGATATAAAAAAACTATGTTAGCGAATGCGGTGTCACGGTTGAATGGTTTTGTGAAAAAAAAAATGTTGATTTCTTATAATGAGACACTTAATACATGTAGTATATTTAAGTGGATACAATATGTTGTACTGATTATATTTAAAATATTTATTTCTTGTAACGACTTATGTATAGATAGATGTTTTTTTCAATTTTGGTTTTAAATTATTGAAGAAAAGTTTGAGATCAGAAACAAATTTGACATCTTGTGTGGTAGATTTGGTAGCAATTTATTAAGTAACGGAGTAATCGACTTTGTTTTAAGATAAATCCCCTTAAATATCAGAATGTATTGACAAGACTTTCCTATAATTTTTATAAGAAGTTAAAGATATTATATAAAACATATATTATATCGTTTTTACCTGTATAGGAGACATGACCAGAGAAAGTTTCAACTTTTATAAATAAATGATGGTCTTTCGGTCGTGGGTTCTTGTTCTATTATGGAGACACCAGTTTTCTTAATTTGACAGATGACGACCTAAATAAGGTTGAGAGACTTAAAAACTTATTGCCTCGCGGAAATATGGACATATTTCAGAATTTCTTCAAAACCCAATTGACTTCAAATTCCTAAACATCGGAAACTGAATGTCCTTTTTTTACTAGACATAAAAATAAATATTTTTATTTGTATAAACACTCCAATTACAAAAATTATTTCTTAAATTTTAAACCTAATTTGATATACATTAGGTTACTAATCAAGTAAATCTATTGAATAATAATTTTGGAGTGAAAATACGATTGTCTGAAACAGACAATGTTTTTAAGCTCTTGTTAAAGGTTTATGATCCATCGGAGGGTTTTGATATTAGGATATAAGATTACGATGTAGTCTAGATACATATATATTTTACAGTTATTAAATACTTATCGTATCCACAGTACACCTATTCCAGTATTTCTCTCAACTTAGGTAGCCTGGAAGACATTTTTATTTGACAATAAGACTTCCTTTTGAAAACACATATGTGGTTTTCTGCTTAATCAATTTGATAAATTATCTGGTATTCATTAAAGTAAATGAATTAATTAATGAAAGATGAATAATGTTAAAAAGAAAAACATATAATTTGTACGAGATGTGACAGTCATTTTCTGATCCCATTAAGAGAATGCCATTATCAATGATTGGATTAAATATATATATTTTTAACTTATTTAATAGTAAAAATGACTCAACAATACAAATCATATTATACAGGGTGACTGGTGAATTACTATCGATATTTGAGGACGTGATATTTGACGATCATACATGACAAAATAAAAATTAATATAACATAAATATTAATAAACTTCAGAGTAAAGTTAACCAAAAATTATGTAATTAATTACGCATCGTGTGAACACCCTACAGATTAGGTATACGCACACACACACACATACGCGTGCAGCGGCGATGTGTTGTATCAGCAAGCCGCCGCACGCGTCCACACTTGGAACACTTGGAACGTGTCAACACTTTATTTATTTATACGGAAATTTTGTCAAAATTTAAGTGCCTATTTTTTTTACATAATTCGAATGAGAATCATGTACCGAGTATTCTCCTTAAATATTGATGGTAATTCACCAGTCACCCTGTATATCAAACATATATTTAGGTATGTTTCTTTAATAATCTG